GTTCCGCCACAATTGGTTTCTTGGTATTGTTAGGCGACACTGGGCAGCTGGTACATAATTGAATAGAGTTGTTTAAACATTAGTTTAACAACAAGTAAAATCAAATACCTATAGAATGATAGGTTTCTTTTTTGTGAGTGTAAAACACTTAATAAACAACATTTCGATATCTCACTACTATAAAGACTTGGTTTGGTCTGATATTTCATTGGTGGTAGTGTTCACGGTCACTGATGAGGAGTGGAATTCTCCGAAACTTGTTTGGCTCACAGTCGGGTTTTCTTCACCAATTAGTCAAGGAACTTACTAGGAACAATGCTATTTTAGATTTATTGTTAACTTCTAACACAGAAATGGTTGAACATCTGGGCGCAAGTGATAGTCGCTCCATTAGGTTGGATGTTTTGCTGCATTAGGAGTTTAGAAGTAATGATATTTTGTTTATAAATTTTGAAGGGATGCCACAAGAATTATCTGTTGTGAATTGGGTTGCTGAATTATTTGGAGACACTGATCAGATGTGGAAAATTTAAATATTCAAGGTAAACATATTCCTTATAGAAAGAAAAGGGTAGCTGCAAGTAAAAAAAAAAACAAGTTGGCTCACAAAGAGTTTAAGAGATAAAATTAAAGAAAAGTATCACAAATGTAAGAAATTTAAACTAACAGGTATGAGGAAAGATTTAGAAAGTTGGTGAAACAAGAAATTAGGACATCAAAAAGGATGTATGAAAACAAGGTTGGCTGAAAATGTAAAAATTAACAGTAAGGACTTCTTTAAATACATTAAGGGTAAACAAAATGTTAGAATGGGGGTAGGACCCTTGAGCGATGATAAAGGAAGGCTAATATCTGATGATTATTAAATTTTACTTTTTTCTTTGGTTTTTTCCAACGAAAATTTGAGCAGTATTCCACACCTTGAACAGTTGAGATATGGAAATGAGATCAAAAAAGATGACTGCATTCATTCTGAACTGGTTAAGAAAAATTTGGGAAGTTTAAAAAATGATAATGTTCCTGGGCCAGATAATATTTCCCCAAGGGTTTTGAATGAGGTTAAAGATTGGATATGTGAGCCACTTGCTACTATTGTTTGTCAGTCCTTAAATAGTGGGCAGGTACCAGAGGATTGGAAGTTAGCTAATGTAACTCCTCTTTTCAAGGGAGGTGATAAAAATTGGCCCAGTAATTATAGACCCATTAGTCTTACATCAGTTGTGGGTAAAAGTTTGGAAAGTCATTTAACAAAGTTTAGAATGTTATTGGATAGTCAACATGGTTTTACTGAGAAAAAATATTGCCTTACAAATTTTTGACACAATGAACAAGTTACTGCTAACATAGATGATGATGTATATGGATTTTCAGAAGGCCTTTGATAACATGCCATATATAAGGCTTGTAAAAAATATCTATGTGTGTGGTGCACAAGTTAGCAAATTGGATAGAAGAATAGCTGGATGGAAGAAAGCAGAAGGTTGTCACAAATGGAGTTCAGTCAAACTGGATTAATGTCACAAGTGGGGTACCTCAGGACTCAGTCTTAGGACCTTTGCTCTTCTTGATTTACATCAATGACATAGATGACGGAATAGTCAATAATTTACTTAAAATTGCAGGTGATATTAAGATCTTGGGTGTTGCTGGCTGTGAAGTGGATGCTGCTGATTTACAAAAGGATTTAGATCATTTAGTGAGTTGGGCAAATAAACGGCAGATGGGTTTTAATTTTAATAAATTAGTGTAAGTGGTTAAAACAGGTGGTACTTTTAAAATGGAAGTTCAAAAAAAAAAAGTTCGATAACACATACAGAACCCCATCACGCTGTGGAAAGACTTAAAACCTTTGAGTGATCTTTCTTCAGTTAATAAGAGCTCTAACCAGGATTACTTCCATAAAAAACAATTTGGTTTGACTATATATAAAGTTTGACAGTCAAACAAAAGATTTAGTTTGGATACATAGTAACTGTAGTTAGTTTTTTCGACATAATTAATTCTTAAAAATACTTTGCCAGATTGTATGGTGTTATTAGCTCAAACAAAAAGAAAAGTTTTATTATAAAACAAAGATTTAATTATTGTGCAGACTTCACTCAAACACAAGTATTTGTTTTTATTGTTACCAGTAACACAAACTACAGATCTTGTGTGGTGTTTTGTTGTTGCATTTCTCATCAATACAAATCAGCTCTAATTATTTTTTACATATATAAACTACATGATAGAGATCTTTTGAGATGCTCTGTGATTAGGCTTAGTATCCGTACATGATAGAGATCTTTTGAGATGCTCTGTGATTAGGCTTAGTATCCGTAGATGACAAGTGATAATGAGATATAGATCAATTCCAATAGAATCTTGTGTGCTATGACAGTATTCCTCATTTACATGACAGCACTTATCAAGAGAGAAAAAAATGTGCTTATTTTAGTTGACATAAATATACTGCAGGACAGAAATATTACTTGGTTTCATATACGAACAGTACTTACACGTTCATTACAAACAATCACGGAACGCTGACAAGTTAATGCTTAGTTAAAATTGTTTGTTGGACAGCTAGTTAACACCACCCACCATCAACTCTTGTCAGGCCAGATATTGGGATTTGGACGTCACTCTTAAACTGCACTCAACACCTCAACGTACAGAGTAATTGTTTGTTTTAGTAGTAACATGATGTAAACTATGGAACCTCAGCTCTGCATGTTAGCAACAGGATCTCACTCAACCAATTCTGATTTAAGATACACCTCTGTCTATCATAACAAAGTTGCAGCAGTGGCCTAGTGCACATATTGAACCAAAGGTAGAAGAGCGCTGCAACTTTGTTGTTAGTGGCCTAGTGCACATATTGAACCAAAGGTAGAAGAGCAACAACAAAGTTGCAGCTCTACCTTTAGTTCAATATGTGCACTAGGCCACTAGAGCAACAACAGAACCTTATCAACTTGTGATCAAAACAAGCTACCAACACAAATCATAACTATTAAACTAAATATACTGTTCTTACACCCTTATTTATAAAGATTGGAATGCATAGTTTCATCAACTGATAATTTTTCACACGGTTCGACCAGTTTTGGAGATTTAAATTAGTCCTCAGTCCACATACTAAGCTAACAATACAAGATAATCTTTATAATAAAAGTATACAAATTAACAATAAACATATGAAACCTGCTAATCAACACTGTTAATGAAAGTAACATTAAATAAAAAATCAAATATACTTTACTTATTCTATGTCACGTGTCTGAAGCTCACGGAAAACAAGTCTGCTTTTATAAATCTCGCTAACTAATAAGACTCCTTGAATAAAACTGGTATGACATTATCTTCCCCACAAATAATACTAAAACTGTTCTTGTTTTCAATCAATAAGGGTTGCTTTTAGGTTCTTTGAAATAAAAAAAAAAAATTGACATTTACTCCTGCCTATGATCAATATCAAAAATATTGCTTTTTTTTAACGGGTGTTAATCGGCATCCTAGAAGACATTCATGTAATACCCGAGTTTTCTCTTTAAAACTACATTTAATTACCAACTATCACAATTGTATAAACACATAACGAACAGATCTTCAGTCATATAAAATATGACACCACCAGGGGAAGCAGTTTAAACAGACTGTTTGTTATTAAGCAAAACGTTACACAATGGGCTATCTACCTTGGGTATTAAAACCCATGTTTTTAACAGACTTACCATTGAACCAACGAGGGGCTACATAACAGGAGTCGTTTAATCACATTTTACAAGTCAACTTGTCTTACTTTACCGATTCAATTCAGAATTGAACCAACGAGGGGCTACCTAACAGGAGTCGTTTAATCACATTTTACAAGTCAACTTGTCTTACTTTACCGATTCAATTCAGAAGTAGTTATAAAACTGCTAATTTTGACAAGTTTGTACTTGCTATAAAAACCAACGAGACTTTATTTCGGAAAAATCTGTATCACCATGCTATACACGAATAAAATCACGGACTTCCTTCATGTGTCGAGTCTCAGTTAAAACAAAACACAATATTGAATTTATGTTGTGTAATAAACAAAGACAGTTACTGGTTACTGACTGTTACATTAGGAATACTGGAAAACATCTGACATACAAACAACTGTAAGATTTTTCAATCTTAACATGAATGTTTCATTACTATATATCAGTCTGCTATTAACACATTTTAAACAATTTTAATAGCAAAATAAAAAAGCTGTGATGTGTCTTTGTATATTCTTTATCAATGCCAGCATGTTTTTGTGGTATGTATATATACGTTAATGCTTTCTACTGCTGTCCCTCATTTTAAACTACTGACCAGTGGATCAACAGCAACCTCACTAAGGGACTGTCCGTTTATAACTTATGACAACTTAAAGTGCAGGGAATATTTTGTGGTCTCACACGAATTCAAACCTGGATCTCTATCACAGAGCCAAACTGTGTCCACTAGCAAATAACATTTTTTAAACTATGTTCTACAGTATTAATGAATATAATTCAGTTGTTCGATATATTACAACTTATTACAAATTATACAAAAAATAAATAACACTACCCACATCAAATAAATTATTCAGGAAACACCGAAATGTGACTACACAAGAATGAAAGAAATTATAAGTCACTGGTATCAATTCACTGTCCTAAGGTACCTTTTGACAGAGAGTTCTGGAGTAATGTATTATATTGATTAATGAAGCCAAGTACCACTTTCTGGGTAGGACGGAAATCTGTTTCAGCTTTTTTTGTTGCAATGAATTCCTTCATAGCAAAATTATTCTGTTCTTGGTGTTGCCAACGCCGCTCCAAGTTGTTGAGTTGAGTGAATGTCTCGTTCTCGTTCAGCTTACTTTTAAGTTCTTCGTACTGACTGGTAGCCTCCGACACGACCTAAAAACCAGAAATAGGAACTTTTTTTTTCGAAGTCTGTTTTCTATTCATCTCTCTCTAAAACTGTAGCCTACTTAAATTGTTTAACTTAAATGTACAACTTCTATTGCAGTGAAGACAAAACTTTTTGAACAAATGTTTAAAAGAGTTTCATTGATTGCTTTCCTACTCCTGATAATCAAATAAATTCATCAGATGGCTAGATCCAATGTTTGTTTCTTTCAGAATCTTCTTAGAGCTGCACAAATGGCTATTTGTGGATAATTTTGAACAAACAGACTTGAAAGAAGGCAGCTAATTAACTCCACCTGGTAAAAATTCTTGTCTTAACTTATAAAACTTTTGAAAGAAATTAAGTAATCTTATTATTAAAAAAAAACCCTTTTGTTATCACTCAATTTGTTTTTATGTAGAAGTGAATAAGTAAATATTTAGATAAAGTAACTGTAATTAATATAAACAAGTCATTCATTTAAATATAGATGGCTAGAATGTTGGAAGACATTTTGATCGAGCAGAAGAGGTGAAGAAGCTTAAAATCGTAACTCTTACAGTCTGTGATGTTCTAAGGCACATGATAAATATTGTATTTAGTTTTCAAACTTGTAATTACTCTTCAACTAAAAATAATTATTCCTCACTTTCTTTATAGCATCCCTCTTTGCGTGAAGATGTTTCTCCTCTTCAATCATTCGCTGCCGTCTGTCTTCGGCAGTTAGCTTCAACTGATCCAGGTTACTATAAGTTACCATTTCGTCTTCCATGGTTTTAATCTTTTCTCTGAGTGTTTCAAGTTCTTGTTGAACCTTGGACTCCAATTGTTCAATCTACAAACATCGGTTCACTTATTACTAAGCACGGTAATTAATGACTAATATGTACGGACGGGTTCAATATATTACTCAAATACTTACTAAAGTTCAGTTGTAGCCTTATTTGAGCACCTAATTGTCATTACCGAGTGTTCCACGGCTTGTATAACAGTAAAACTATTCTGTTCTTATACCACACGTATTTTTGTGGGGAAATAATACAAGTTACGTTGGCCTAGAGCTCTGGGGTACTTTTACCATCCTGGAGGAATCAATCGAACTTTACTTTATATCGAAATATATTACAAGTAACTTACAGAATGGGATAAATACAGAAATATATTACAAGTAACTTACAGAATGGGATAAATACAGAAATATATTACAAGTAACTTACAGAATGGAATAAATATAGAAATATATTACAAGTAACTTACAGAATGGGATAAATACAGAAATATATTACAAGTAACATACAGAATGGGATAAATACAGAAATATGTTACAAGTAACTTACAGAATGGGATAAATACAGAAATATGTTACAAGTAACTTACAGAATGGGATAAATACAGAA